CAGGAATTCTGGGAGTTGAAGTCCACCAGTCATAAAGCGGCCTAGGCCAGAGGTAGGCAGCCTTGGCCCTTTTATGACTCGTGGACTTCAACTCCCAGAATTCCTGAGTCAGGATGACTCAGCTTGGAAACCTCTCGCTTTCCCCTCAGCATGGCTGGCTCAGGAATTCTGGGAGTTGAAGTCCACGAGTGATAAAAGGGCCAAGGTGCCTACCTCTGGCCTAGGCCTAGGCCGCTTTATGACTGGTGGACTTCAACTCCCAGAATTCCTGAGCCAGCCACACTGAGGGGAAAGGGAGAGGTTTCCAAGCTGAGCCATGCTGGCTCAGGAATTCTGGGAGTTGAAGTCCACAAGTCATGAAGGGGCCATAATTCCCCCATGCTGGCTCAGGAATTCTGGGAGTTGAAGTCCACGAGTCATAAAAGAGTCAAGGTTGCCTACCCCCTGACTGAGGCAGATTTTCTGCAGGATGGGTCTGACCTGCAGCTGCTTCAGGTCTTCCAGCTGTTGTAATCGGATCCATCCATCCTGCTGCGGCTTGTCCTCTTCTTTTTGACCTAAATGAACAGCTGGTCCCTAATTTATTCTTCAATAGAAACCGCTTCTAATCCCCCCCCTCTTTTTTGCAGAACATTAATAAAGTGGTTTTTGTGGGGAACTTCTTGCGAATCAACACCATCTCCATGAAGTTTCTGGCCTACGCTTTGGATTACTGGTCAAAGGGACAACTGAAGGCTCTTTTCCTGGAACATGAGGTAAAGTCAGTCTCTCTCTCAAACACACACACACACACACACACTCACACTCACACTCACACACTCTCTCTCTCTCTCTTATGTTTCTTCCTTTTCCCTTAAAAAAAAGCCTGTTTTTTTCCAAGGTTTTATTTTGATGATACGATTCGAACAAGGCAATAAACTTAAAATTTGCATCCTAGTTCTTGTACTAAGAAAGCCAGTTTGGTTTAGTGGGTAAGGCACCAGGCGAGAAACTGGGAGATTGTGAGTTCTAGTTGCGACTTGGGAGACAGTGAGTTCTTGTCCCACCTTAGGCACGAATGGTGACTTGGGTGACTGGACCAATCAGCAGGAGACCGTGAATTCTAGTTCTGCCTTAGGCATTAATGGTGATTTGGGTGATTTTGGCTTGTCACCAGGAGATGGTGAGTTCTAGTCCCGCCTTAGTTATGAAAAGGTCTCTGGGTGAGTTTTGGCCCTCTTTTGGTCTCTCTTAGCCAAACCTACCTGACAGAGTTGTGGGGAAATTTGGAGGAGGAAGGTACATTGGGTGTGTTTGCCTCCTTGAGTTGTTTATGGAAAAACAATAAAGGGAGAGAGAGAGAGAGAGAGAGAGAGAGAGAGAGAGAGAGAGAGAGAGAGAGATGATGGATGGATGGGTGGATGGATGGATGGATGGATGATGGATGGATAGATAGATAGATAGATAGATAGATAGATAGATTGATTGATTGATTGATTGATTAATGGATGGATAGATGATGGATGGATGGATAGATAGATAATGGTTGGATGGATGGATGATGGATGGATGGATGGATGGATAGATAGATGATAGAGAGATAGATAATGGATAGATGGATGGTAGATGGATAGATGGATGGATGGATAGATAGATAATGGATAGATGGATGATAGATGGATGGATAGATAGATGGATGGATGGATGGATGGATGGATGGATGGATAGATAGATAATGGATGGATGGAGGATGGATGGATGGATGGATAGATGATGGATGGATAGAGATGGATGGATGGATGGATGGATGGATGGATGGATGGATGATGGACGGACGGACGGACGGACGGACGGACGGACGGACGGACGGACGGACAGATAGATGATGGATGGATGGATAGATGATAGATAGATAGATGGATTTATATCCTTTAACTGTCTCCTGAAAGTTTTGCAATTTAGTGAGGGTTCTCAGAAGAGCGATAAAGACGGGAGAAGAGTTGTTATTACTATTATTGTTGTTTATTATTTATTAAATTTTTAATGCCGTCCGTTTCCCCGCTCCAAGGGTGACTTTTGTTGGGAAAAGATAGCATGAAATGTAGCATTTTTTTTAAATGATGCATTTAATCATTTGCTTTTTGTTGTTGTTTTCATTTTAAAATAGGGATATTTCGGAGCAGTGGGAGCGCTCCTTGACCTTTTGGAGACATCCTGAATTCCTTCAGAGTCAGGACCACGGGGTTCAAACGGGGATTTCTAGCTAAGGCGGAACATTCTAGGTTCATGTGGATTTCACATGCAAAAACAAACTGCTTATTAACAGCCAGAACAAAGGGATTGCGAACGACGTCACCCGTCTTTGCTGAGAAGAACAAATGGAGGGTTTTTTTGTTCTCAGAGGTAACAAAGTAGTCTAGTAGGTTGGAACGCTTCTTTGTGTATTTAACTGTGTGCGGCGCGCAGATCTCAAACGTTAAGATGTGCATTTGCTCCCACTTGTGTGTTAAGCTACGTTTCTTTCGGGGACTTGAAAACAGCTGCAGCTGTCACGTAAAGACAAGTTCGTGCTCTTCTCAGAATTATTTTAAGGGTTGTTCTATTTTGTATGGACTCTGGAAGGGCTGGCTTGCCTTTTCATCACGGTTTGAAGATGTGCAGAATGTGGAAACCCACCTACAATATTAAATCTGTTTTCTTACAAAGAGCAGTTCTCGTCCCTTGATTGCGAGCGACGGACCTTGGTCTTCAGGTCACAAACCAGGGCAAAGAATTGGGAAGCGAGAGAGGAGAGAAAAGGAAAAAAGAAATGAACCATGGGTTCACAATTTTGTTTACAATGAACTATCAGCTTTCTCCTACTGAAAACCGAGGGGGTGATCTAATGTTTTGGCATGCATATTCTTGACCAGTGTGCCATAGACCAAAATTGACCACAGAAGCCAACAAGAAAGTTTGTGGAATGGAATTGAATAGAGAATGGAATGGAATTGAATAGAGAATGGAATGGAATGGAATAGAATAGAATAGAGAATAGAATAGAATAGAATAAAATAAGAGAATAGAATAGAATAGAATATAGAATGATAGAATATAGAATAGAATACAATAGAATACAATACAATAGAATATAGAATGAATAGAATATAGAATAGAATAGGGAATAGAATAAGAGAGTAGAATTGAATAGAATAGAATAGAATAGAATATAGAATGAATAGAATATAGAATGAATAGAATATAGAATAGAATAGGGAATAGAATAAGAGAATAGAATAAAATAGAATATAGAATGAATAGAATATAGAATAGAATAGAATAGAATAGAATATAGAATAGAATAGGGAATAGAATAAGAAAATAGAATAGAATATAGAATGAATAGAATATAGAATAGAATATAGAATGAATAGAATACAGAATATAGAATAGAATAGGGAATAGAATAAGAGAATAGAAAAGAATAGAATATAGAATGAATAGAATAGAATAGAATAGAATATAGAATGAATAGAATATGGAATAGAATAGGGAATAGAATAAGAAAATAGAATAGAATATAGAATGAATAGAATATAGAATAGAATATAGAATGAATAGAATACAGAATATAGAATAGAATAGAATAGGGAATAGAATAAGAATAGAATAGAATATAGAATGAATAGAATATAGAATAGAATAGGGAATAGAATAAGAAAATAGAATAGAATATAGAATGAATAGAATATAGAATAGAATAGAATATAGAATGAATAGAATACAGAATATAGAATAGAATAGAATAGGGAATAGAATAAGAATAGAATAGAATATAGAATGAATAGAATATAGAATAGAATAGGGAATAGAATAAGAGAATAGAATAGAATAGAATAATGATAGAAATAGAATGGAATGGAATAATATATGGAATGGAATAGAATGGAATAGAATATATGGAACAACAGAATAGAATAATGATAGGAATGGAATGGAATAATATATAGAATAGAATAGAATATGGAATGGAAAATAGAATAGAGAGTATTTGTTGTTTTTTTGCCACGGTAAAGTGTAGTTGATACGTTAGTAGCAGAAATAGCACTTATATAACACTTCACAGTGCTTTATAGTCCTCTCTAAGCAGTTTACAGAGTGAGCCTGTTGCCTCCAACGATCTGGGTCCTCATTTTACCGACCTCCGAAGGATGGAAGGCTGAGTCAACCTTGAGCCTGGAGCGATTCAAACTGTTGGCAGCCGGCAGTCAGCGGAAGTCACCTGCAGCACTGCATACTAACCACTGCACCACCATGGCTCACTAACCTGGTTGTTAAGATAATCTAGTTGTCCCCCATTGACTTTGCTTGTCAGCAGGTCGCGAAAGGGGAGATCACATCACCCCAGGATGCCGCAACTGTCATAAATACGAGTCAGTTGCCAATTGTCCAAATTTCGACGGGGATGCTACGATGGTCGGGTGAAAAACAAGTCATAATTTTTTTGTACAGTGCTGTCGTACCCTTTTGAATGGTCACTAAACAAACGGTTGTTAAGGACTTCCTGTAGCCAAATGCGTTGACTGTTTCATCAGAGTGGAGGGTTTAAGGTTGATATTTAATCCAATTTGTGTTTTGAAAGAAGATTGGCTGTCCTGCTAGACTGAACAGCAACGTGTTTAAGTGCTGCTTAAAGCAGTTCCATCACTTGTTGATCTCAACACTTTTCATCCATGGCCTGTAGGGGGCAGGCTAGTTCTTTCCAAACATCCAGGGGTGGACAACCTTGGCTCTTTTATGACTGGTGGACTTCAACTCCCAGAATTCCTGAGCCAGCCATGCTGAGGGGAAAGGGAGAGGTTTCCAAGCTGAGCCATGCTGGCTGAGGAATTCTGGGAGTTGAAGTCCACGAGTCATAAAGCGGCCTAGGCCTAGGCCAGAGGTAGGCAACCTTGGCTCTTTTATGACTCGTGGACTTCAACTCCCAGAATTCCTGAGCCAGCGTGGCTCAGCTTGGAAACCTCTCCCTTTCCCCTCAGCATGGCTGGCTCAGGAATTCTGGGAGTTGAAGTCCACGAGTCATAAAAGAGCCAAGGTTGCCTACCCTGCAAATACACTTCCCCCTTCATTTATTTATTTTTAAATAGTTCAAATATTAATAGAAAGATTATTCGAAAGGAGAATTTGACTTAACGACCATAAGGGGAGCCCAAAATTTCTGTTGCTAAGTGAGACATGATAAGTGAGTTTTTCCCCATTTTACGACTTTTCTTCTCACCGTTGTTAAGCGAATCGCCGCAGTTGTTAAGTTAGCAACACGGTTGTTAAGTGAACCTGCTTTCCCCCTTGACTTTGCTCGTCAGAAGGTCGAAAAAGGGGGATCACATGACCCCGGGACGCTGCGGCCGTCATAAATACGAGTCAGTTGCAAAGCATCCGAATGTAAATTGCCTGATATGGGGAATGCTGCAACGGTCGTGTGGGTCATCTAGTGAATCCCCCCTTGACTTTGGTGGTCCGAAGGTCGCATGTGACCCCAGGACGCTGCGATCGTCATAAATATGAGTCAATTGCCCAAGCGTCCGAATTTTGATTAAGCAAGCACCAGGATGCTGCAAAGGTGGTGTGAAAAATGGTCATAAGTCATTTTCTTTGGTGCCGTTGTAACTTTGAACGGTCACTAAATGAACCGTTGTAAGTTGTGGACCACCTGTATTACAAAACTAGTTGGCCCAAAGGTCGATTTTAAAACTTTAGGGGACTGTACCAGCACCTTACAGGACGTCCCTTGGAAATCCTCTCCAGGCCACAATCTGCAACCAGTTTTGTCGCTAGACACCTACATTATGGACAACACATAGTCCTCGACTTAACGACAGTTTGTTTAGTGACCGTTCAAAGTTATAGCACCGAAAAAAGCAAGTTAACGACCGTTTTTCATGCTTATGACTGTTGCAGTAGCCTCGTGGTCACTTGATCAAAATTCGGACGCTTGGCTACTGACGTTTATAACGGCCGCAACGTCCCGGGGTCACGTGATCCCTTGCAGCATCCCCACGGTCATGTGATCAATCTTGGCACGCTTGGCAACTGGCATGTACTTAGGACGGTTGCAGTGTCGTCCCCCCGGGGTCCTACGATCTCCTTCAGCGACCTTCCGAGAAGCGAAGTCAATGGAGAAGCCAGATTCCTTTAACATATGTGTTACTAACTCAACATCTGCAGTGATTCACTTAGCAACCGTGGGGGAAAAAGTCGTAAAATGGGGCAACACGGTTGTCTTGCCCAGCAAGGGAAAATTTAGGCTGAATTGGAACCGTTAAGTCGAGGACCACCCGTATTCCAGGAATCGCCCTTGGCTGCGTGTGGGAGGGATGTAGGAAACCTTTTGTACTTGCCCGATCGACGGTTCTGTGCAAGGTACGTGCGGGAGAGGGACAAAGTACTCCGCTCGCAAGGTGTTCCAGCGATGGGAGAGCATAAACACGGCTTGTCTCCTCGCTCCAGACTTGGAAAGATTTCCAGGTTCTTTCAACCGCCAGCCTCCTTTGCAGTTAATTCTGGGGTTTTTTTGCAAGTATTTGCAAGTTTTTTTTCCCCCCCCAAGTAAACGCACTTGGAACACCCTTGTGCAAGGAATGGACGGATACGGAAAAACCCCAGCCGGGAAGGGAAACGGAACAAAACCAAAGACATCTGCTTTTGATGCTGGGTTTGGCAGGATTCACACATACCATGGGCTTAACCTGGTTACTGAATTAAAGCGACGTTCTGAGTTGGGACAACATACAGGCAGTGCTCGACTTACAACCGTTTGTTTAGTGACCGTTCGAAGTTACAACGGGACGGAAAGAAGCGTTTTTCACTTTTACGACCGTTGGGTCACCTGATCAAAATTCAAACGAATTTAGCACTCAACACGTTTTGAGATGAAAATTTTATCCCATACTCATTGTTTGGTGCTCCACGCACAAGCTACAACTTGTCGGTGTTGGCTTCCTTGCGACTCACCACAGCAGTGGCCAAAATTGTGGGAACCTTTTGGGAAAAGTGTATTTTTGAGGTTTGATGGCTAATAACACCACTTTTTTTGCAGTACTACCATAAAATTATATATCAACGGAAAGATAATTTAATCAAGAACGTCATGCAACAAAGTTGGTTCAATTATCTGTACTGTATTCTATGAAACGTTATAGCCAAAGAACCAGAAAAAGGAAGCACAACTTGCTCAGATTGATATCGGGTAGCTTTCCGTCACCTGATTGTAGCCAATGAGCATGAGTGTTGAGAGAGCCAATCAGGTGTCATCTTGTTTTGGCAATGAGCCAATCAGATCACAGTAGGATTCAGTTATTGGCGTCATGTATTGAAGCTGAGAGGAGGACATTTGTCAGTGTGTTATGTGATCGCTATCAAGTTGGCTGGTTTTTTTTTTGTATGTGTTCTTTCATTTAGTGAGCTTGTAAAACGTAATAAAATTAAAGTCATGGTGCCAAGAGTTGACTGGTCGCCCAGAAAGCGATGTAAAATAGTATTATTAAGTGAACACGGCTACAGTTATCAAGAAATTAGAAGAAAAATGGGTGGAAACTTAACCAAAACTGGCATTTCTACTGTACACTTTTCCCAAAAAGTTTCCACAATTTTGGCCACTGCTGTATATTATTCCTTATAGGAATAAATGGTTTGTTACTTACTGTTTTTGGTACTCACTGCGCCTCCC